AAAAAAAAACAACAAAAACAACAACCTCATCAAGCAGGTGACCACAAACAGTTTTCTACGCAGCCACATGTGTTTGGACAAATGTGTACGTGGGCAGACCGGTGAAATGTCAGTGTTACACATTCACAAGGGCAGAGATGTTCATCTGCTCTTATAGGCATGTTGTGGTACTTTTCAATTATATGATATAAACCAGCTTGCCTTAGTTTCAGTGACAGATGAGAAAATGTCTTAGTTTTAGTGAAGGATAAGAAAAATCTCTCACTTCTTCATTCCACTCAAACCGTATAACCAAACATGTTAACATGGCATTGTTGACCCAGGGCACTTGTTGACCATGATATGAGCTCATTCTCAGAGGGCAGCAACAATGGGCTCTACTTTCTCATTCTGCACAGGGACATGGGTGCTGGTGTGGCCCAGGGAGAGGCTCCAGCTGTGCAATGCCACTCCACGCCAGACCAGGTAGGTCTAGACTCCACGCCACACCAGGTAGGTCTAGAGGAAGGCTTTGGAGGTAGTGGCAGGAACAACGTCCTGGGAGCAGTGAGGAGGATGTTCTACAGGGCCTGTCACTAAAACATCCTAGTTTGGACATTGGGAAAATGATTAAAACGATTAGCCTAAAGGCTGGTAGTTGAAATGCACACAGCGTTGCTCTGATAGATTGGTAGTTCAAATCCATACACTGGCCTGGAGATCTGCACCTGAAAGTTCACATCCTTGAAAATCCCAAGGAGCAGTTCTATTCACGGGGTCACTATGAGTCAGGGATGACTGGAAGGAGAAGCAAGGAGGGAAGGGAGATGGAAAACAAAAATGACTATGACAAACAAGAGGTCTCACAAAAAATATAAGGAACAACAAAATAACAAAAAAATAAGGATTAGGTAACATTTTAATAAAATGGCATATACCAGAGGAATGCCTGTCTGCATGTCATTGACTATGTAAAGGTATTTGACTGTGTGGAACATAACAAATTCTGGCTAACCTTAAGAAGAATGGGAATCCCAGAACACCTGATTGTGCTCATGTGAAACCTATACTTGGACCAGGAAGCAGTCCCCAGAACAGGGCAAGGAAACACTGCACCGTTCAAAATCAGGAAAGGTGTGAGTCAGGGATGCATTCTGTGTCCGTATCTTCTCAACCTATACGTGGAACTGATCATTCAAGAGTTGAATTTAATGATGAGTTTGGCATCAGGATTGGAGGAAGACTCATTAACAACCTCCATTATGCAGAAGACACAATCTTGCTTGCTGAAACCGAGGAGGACCTGAAGCATTTGCTGCAGAAGGTCAAGGACTGAAGTCTCCAACATGGATTAAGACTCAACATCAGAAAAACAGAGATTCTTACCGCTGGGCTAACTGGCAGCACCATAACAGATAGAAAAGTGATTGAGATTGTTAACATTATCAGCCTGCTTGGTTCTACAATCAACAGTTGAAGCACCAGCGGTCAGGAAATAAAACTAATTAAATTGGATAAATCAGCTCTCAGGTACCTCCCCAGAGTGCTGAAGAACAATGATGTTATCAGTCTGGAGACTAAAGTGTGCCCGATCCAGGCCATGGTCTTGGCAATTATTTGCTATGCGTCAGAGAGCTGGACAACGACTAAGGATGATAGAAGAAGAATTGATGCCTTTGAGCTGTGGTGTTAGAGACTAGTACTGAACTATGGACTGTCAAAAAAACAAAAGGTGAAACCAGGTTGGCTCCTTGGAGACAAGGATTTTGAAGCTCTGCCTCACATACTTTGGGCATGTTGCCAGAAGGGACCAGTCTTTGTTAAAGGACATCATGCTCAGAAAGGTAGAGGGACAGCACAGGAGAGGAAGACCCTGGATGAGATTGACTGACACAGTGACTGCGGTAATAGGAGTCAGAGTGTCGGAGTCAGTGAGACTGGCTCATGATAGGGCAGGGTTCAGAGCTGTCATGTGTAAGGTCGCTATGAGTAGCAGGTGACTCAGTGGTACAAAACAACACATATAAGAAAAACAAGGAAGAATGATCACAAAAATGTTGATGTGTGTTATTTCACAATGAAAAAAATTCAGGTGATTTTAATACTCTTATAAGTTTTTCTCCATTTTAGCTTGGAATTATCACCAAAAATAACTATTTTCATTATTGGAAAACTGTAAATAACTCAATAATACTGGTGGCATGAACATAAAGTTTCATAAGTCCTCCTAGCCGAAAGAGGACACATTCAATAGAACTTTTCATCATTCACGACTAAGAGGTCTGAGCGATCTTTTTCAAAATGGAGACAGACCACAAAATCGGAAATTAATAATCAGCATAAGTATTTTAAACATCTTGAAGGCAAGGGCTAAATCTAATTTTTAACACACTTTCCCAAAGACTAAGAGCACTCTTAATGCTCAATCAATCCTCAGTAATTGACAAGCACATTTCAAACCTCATCAATTATTACCTCAAGGATGTTATTATCTGATAGACAAATGCTATTAAAGAGTAAAATCTCATCTAAAAAAGCATGAGAGCTGAAGTAGCTCCAACAAAAATAATTTAACTATGAAATTTAATCTGCCACAGAGAAGTAACAGAACTCTAACACAACAGAATTTCTCTTCTTATTCTGGTCACAGTCAATGTGCCCAGTTATTTTACCTCCCCTCCCTGCAATCCCAGAACCACATGCTGTCCACATACACCCTCAAAAAATATCCACTCGAAGTCAATACCTGCTTCTTTCTTTTGGATACTGAATTCACAACATCAGCTATCCGTCATAGCCTTCATGTGAGCCATTGATTGGGGGAGTGTAGTCCGTATGATGTCAATCCAGCTCATCAATGGTGGACTCAAGTAAGTTAGAGATGATCAGGATGGTGCAGGATAAGGCTGGGTTCAGAGCCATTGTTCATAGGGTTGCACTGAGTCACAGTTGACTCAATAGCACTTAACAACAACAACCAACAGTCCACAGGGGTTTCCACTAACCCCAAGGCCACAGATTCTGACAGTTCAATTCCACCAGTGGCTCCACAGAACAAAGCTGAGCAGTCCCTTCCCTTGTGAATCACAGCCTTTGAAGCCCGTCACAGTGTCAGCTATGAATCAGTTCTGACTCGATAGCAATGAGTTTGAATTTTCATATGAACCATGCTCAAATGAAGCCCATCTTCACAACTACAAACTGCCTTGGTAACGTCTGAACATAATGTGGAATCCTTTTGCAAAGGTGCTATTTTTCAATCTTTCAGACCTCTTTTCTCTGCAGGATAATGGAAATGGATTATCAGCAGGCTTTGGGGGAACAGTTTCCCGACAAGCCATGAACTGTACCTCCACAGGCTCCCCATTGATCAAGTGATTTAGGAGCCTCTCCTACAAAAATTAGAATTGTAAGAGCATTATGCTGAGTGAACTAACTCATTCTAATGAGGACAGATACTACATAAGATCATTAATGTAGAAATAGAAAGATAGCTATTGAAGGTAGTAAAATGTGTATGAAGAGCCAAAGTGGGGAGTGTGGGAACAGAGGAGTAAGGATAGGCAGGAAGGAAATCATAGGGTTACACAATTTGGTGGAGGGGTCATGATTCAGCAGTGATTAATTTCATAAAACATAGTGAGCCGGATGAGATGGATTGATTCAGTGACTGGGGTAATCGGGGTGGGTGTGTCGGAGACAGTGAGACTGGCACAGGACAGAGCAGGCTTCAGAGCTGTTGTACATAGGGTCGCTATGAGTCGCAGGTGTCTTGACAGCACATAACAGTAACAAGTGAATGGGAATGACCGTTTGAAACCCAATGTGAATGAAGGATACTGTGAAACACAAGGAATATTAACTTTGTAGGCAAACCAATATAAAACAAAAATTTTTTTTGATGATTCAATTCTTTTTTTTACTTTCCATTCATTCATTGTTCCACTTTTCTCCCTGCCCACCCCTACCCCAATTCGCTTTTCTCTTTGAAAACTAAAAGAAAAAAGTTTCTAATTGTTATATTCAATCTCTCCCCCCAAGTCCATTCCACTAAGTTCCCTTCATTCTGGACTCCTGTCCTAACAATAATATCTAATCATATATCCCTTTTAAACAGTTCTCTCCCTCATCTGTTTTAATGCAGTATGTATTATTTATCCCATCTCTCTCAGTCTCCCCAAAACACCTATGTCAATCCTCTTTTATTACAGTGGCATTATGCCATATTTGTCTTTTTTGTGACAGAGATAAATTCACTCAGCATAATGTCCTCCAGAGTCACCCATTTGTTTTAATATTTCCTGGGTTCCTTGTTTTTCAATGCCGCATAGTATTCCATTGTGTGAATATACCAGAGTTTCTCTATCTATTCATTTTTTGATGGGCACTTGGGTTGTAAAACAAAACTTTTTCAAAAAACTGTTGTTGGGGAGAAAAACCCTCAAAAACTGCTGCTGAGTCAATTCTGACTCATACTAACCCTGTTGAGACAGAGCTTTTTCCCAAACTGTGAATTTTTACCAGAGCATTTAATTCTTCCCCTGGAGAGCAGCTGGTAGGTTCTAGACACTTTGGTTAAGTGAGTACTTAGCCACTGAGCTATCCGAAATCCCTAAGGCTGGTATCAGATAACATAAAAATGAATTAAACTTATCTATTTCAAGAAAAACACTTACCTGAACTAGCAAGTGACCTGAATTAGGCAAACATGTACCACATTTCCTGGCATTCTCATTTAGCTGTCTTATCAAATCAAGGAATATTTCCACAGCCCCTTTGCTGACCATTTCATTAACAAATCCTGGGTTTCCAGAAAGGAATTTTGTAGTACCCACACAATACAAAAAAGCCTCAATATTTGTTTGCAGGTCTTCACTGCTCAGGACACCCAATAATAATTCTGTCAAAAAAGAGGAATTAGTGCAAATATATGAGCATAACAGACAGAAAGAGCTATATTAAGGTACTTGTATATGAACATCAAAGATAATTTATAATGTATATTGGTTAAAGTCTATACACAATCATTTGTTAAGGATTACTCATGTAAGAGAAAAGTTTATTTATTAGAGGTTCTTTATAAACCTCTATAATAGTAATGTCAGCAAATCAGACTTGTACTATCTAAGAAAGAAAACGTTCTTTTCAATAAATGCAATTCCTTAACTATTATCAATATTTACTAACCTTTCATTTGTAGAAGCTCTTGGTACAGAATAGGGACACATAACAACAACAGCTAAAGCAACTGAAGAGTTAAATTTTGAGTTAAAATAGACTTTTAAGATTATATTTGTTGCTATATGAATGGGAGACTAAATAAAACAGAAACTTGAAAACACAACATCAATCACCACAGAAAGACACAAGTTTAAGTAAGAAATAACTCCTTCTAAGAAATGAATATCCATGTAAATAAGGCACAGCCATGTAAATAAGGCACAACTAAGGGGCTCTGGTGGCTTAGTGCTAAGGAGTTGTGCTGCCAACTCAAAGGCAAGAGGTTCGAATCCACCAATTGCTCCACAGGAGAAAGATAGGCAGTCACTTCCTGTGTGATTTATTGCCTCTGAAAACCCACTTGGAGGGTCAGCTTTGAGTTGGTTCTGGAGATGACACATAGCAGCAGTCTCAGGATAGTTCAAATCCAAGAGTGGCTCTGTGGGGAAAGATGGGCAATCTCCTCCCAAGCAATTTAACAGTCTCAGAAGCTCAACAGAGGGTCAGCTATGAGTCATTTCTAACATGACAGCAATGAAAATTAGAAAGCTTAAGGACAAATGTGGGTAAGCTATAAGGTGAGTCATACATATATTTAATCACTGCCAGAATCTGTCTTTGTTGTCTGTCAATTAGCCAATTCAAATTAAACATTTATTTTGTTTTTAAGATTTTTTTTTCCTTGACCACTAGGATAGAAATAAGGGAGAAAAATATCTTTTATTTAAAAAAAAAAAGGAGAAGCGATTAAAATTAGCTCCCATATTGCTTCTTTACTTTCTACCTCAATACTGTCATAAAGTGACTTTTATTTGTTGTGGTGGTGGTTGTTAGGTGTTGTCAGGCTGAGTACGACTCAGGGCAACCCTATGAACAACAGATCTAAACCCTGGCTATACTGTGCCATCCTTACCCTCCTGACACATGTAAGCCCACTGCTACAGTCACTGCATCAATCCGTCTCCCTAACGGTAGTCCGCTCTTTTGCTGACCCTCCATCTTTTCAAGCATGATGTTCTTCTTCAAGGAACAGCTTTTCCTAGCAACATGCTCGAAGCATGTAAGATGAAGCTTCATCATCCTTGCCTCCCAGGAGCACTGTGGCTTCACCTTCTCCAAGACTCTTGCAATCCATGGGATATTGCATGCTCTTCTTCAGCACCACAATTAAAAGGTATCAATTCTTCTTCTTATCTGTATTCATTGTCTAGTTCTCAGGTACATAGGAAGTGATTAAAAAGACCATGGCCTGAATCAGGTGCACCTTACTCTTCAAACTGACATCATTGTTTCTCAGTAATTTGGAGATATCCCTGAATGCAGACTTACCCAACCCACTACATCGCATCTCCTTAAAGCTGGTACCAAGAGTGTTGATTGTGGCTTCAAGCAAGACAAAATCACTGGCAAATTCAATCTTTTCTCCATCTATCACAATGTTATTTTTAGGTCCAGTGATGAGGATTTTTGTCTCCTTTGATGTTAAGATGCAATCCATATTGAAAGCTGTACTTTGACCCTCTGCAGTGTTTCAAATCTTCCTCACTTTCAGCAAGCAAGGTTGTGCCATCTGCACAGAGCAGCTTGTTGATGAGTCTTTCTCCAATCCTGAAGTCACACTCCTCTTCATAGAATTCAGCTTCACAACTGATTTTCTTGATGTACAGTTTGAATAGACATGGAAAATGGATACAACTGTGATGTATACTTTTCCTGATTTTCAACCATGCAGTGTTCTCTTGTTCTGTCCAGACAACAGCTTCTTGGTCTAGATAGACATTTCACACGAGTACAATTAAGTGTCCTGGTATTCCCATTCTTCTCAATGTTAGCCATGTTGTTGTTG